AAAAAAAAAAAAAAAATCTTCCAACAAACAAAAGCCCAGGACCAAATGGCTTCACAGGCGACTTCTTTCAAACATTTAAAGAGCTAACACCTATCCTTCTCAAACTCTTCCAAAATATAGCAGAGGGAGGAACACTCCCAAACTCATTCTACGAGGCCACCATCACCCTGATACCAAAACAAGACAAGGATGTCACAAAGAAAGAAAACTAAAGGTCAATATCACTGATGAACATAGATGCAAAAATCCTCAACAAAATACTAGCAAACAGAACCCAACAGCACATTAAAATGATCATACACCATGATCAAGTGGGGTTTATACCAGGAATGCAAGGATTCTTCAATATACGCAAATCAATCAATGTGATACACCATATTAACAAACTGAAGGAGAAAAAACCACATGATCATCTCAATAGATGCAGAAAAAGCTTTTGACAAAATTCAACACCCATTTATGATAAAAACTCTCCAGAAAGTAGGCATAGAGGGAACTTTCCTCAACATAATAAAGGCCATATATGACAAACCCACAGCCAACATCATTCTCAGTGGTGAAAAACTGAAACCATTTCCTCTAAAATCAGGAACAAGACAAGGATGCCCACTCTCACCACTATTATTCAACATAGTTTTGGAAGTTTTAGCCACAGCAAGCAGAGAAGAAAAAGAAATAAAAAGAATCCAAATTGGAAAAGAAGAAGTAAAGCTGTCACTGTTTGCAGATGACATGATACTATACATAGAGAATCCTAAAGATGCTACCAAAAAACTACCAGAGCTAATCAATGAATTTGGTAAAGTAGCAGGATAAAAAGTTAATGCACAGAAATCTCTTGCATTCCTATGCGCTAATGATAAAAAACTTGAAAGAGAAATTAAAGAAACACTCCAATTTACACTCCTAGGAATAAACCAACCTAAGGAGACAAAAGACCTGTATGCAGAAAGCTATAAGACACTGATGAAAGAAATTAAAGATGATACAAACAGATGGAGAGATATACCATGTTCTTGGATTGGAAGAATCAACATTGTGAAAGTGACTACACTACCCAAAGCAATCTACAGATTCAATGCAATCCCTATCAAACTACCAATGGCATTTTTCACAGAACTAGAACAAAAAATTTCACAACGTTTATGGAAATACAAAAGACCCTGAATAGCCAAAGCAATCTTGAGAACGAAAAACGGAGCTGGAGGAATCAGGCTCCCTGACTTCAGACTATACTACAAAGCTACAATAATCAAGACAGTATGGTACTGGCACAAAAACAGAAATATAGATCAATGGACCAGGATAGAAAGCCCAGAGATAAACCTATGCACATATGACACCTTATCTTTGACAAAGGAGGCAAGAATATACAATGGAGAAAAGACAGCGTCTTCAATAAGTGGTGCTGGGAAAACTGGACAGCTACATGTAAAGGAATGAAATTAGAACACTTCCTAACACCATACACAAAAATAAACTCAAGATGGGTTAGAGACCTAAATGTAAGGCCAGACACTATACAACTCTTAGAGGAAAACATAGGAAGAACACTGTTTGACATAAATCACAGCAAGATCCTTTTTGACCCACCTCCTAGAGGAATGGAAATAAAAACAAAAATAAACAAATGGGACCTAATGAAACTTAAAGCTTTTGCACAGCAAAGGAAACCATAAACAAGACCAAAAGACAACCCTCAGAATGGGAGAAAATATTTGCAAATGAAGCAACTGACAAAGGATTAATCTCCAAATATACAAGCAGCTCATGCAGCTCAATATCAAATAAACAAACAACCCAATCCAAAAATGGGCTGAAGACCTAAATAGACATTTCTCCAAAGAAGATATACAGATTGCCAACAAACACATGAAAGTATGTTCAACATCATAATCCTTAGAGAAATGCAAATCAAAACTATAATGAGGTATCACCTCACACCAGTGAGAATGGCCATCATCAAAAAATCTCCAAACAATAAATGCTGAAGAGGGTGTGGAGAAAAGGGAACCCTCTTGCACTGTTGGTGGGCATGTAAATTGATACAGCCACTATGGAGAACAGTAGGGAGGTTCTTTAAAAAACTAAAAATAGAACTACCATATGACCCAGCAATCCCACTACTGGGCATATACCCTGAGAACACCATAATTCAAAAAGACATGTACCACAATGTTCATTGCAGCTCTATTTACAATAGCCAGGACATGGAAGCAACCTAAGTGTCCATCGACAGATGACTGGATAAAGAAGACATGGCACATATATACAATGGAATATTACTCAGCCATGAAAAGAAATGAAATTGAGTTGTTTGTAGTGAGATGGATGGACCTAGCGTGTGTCATATAGAGTGAAGTAAGTCAGAAAGAGAAAAACAAATATCGTATGCTAACACATATATATGGAATCTAAAAAAAAAAAAGGCTCTGAAGAACCTTGGGGCAAGACAGGAATAAAGATGGAGACATAGAGAATGGACATGAGGACGTGGGGAGGGGGAAGGGTAAGCTGGGACAAAGTGAGAGAGAGGCATGGACATATATACACTACCAAACGTAAAATAGATAGCTAATGGGAAGCAGCCACATAGCACAGGGAGATCAGCTCGGTGCTTTGTGTCCACCTAGAGGGGTGGGATGGGGAGGGTGGGAGGGAGGTATAAGAGGAAGGGGATATGGGGATATACGTATGCATATAGCCGATTCACTTTGCTATACAGCAGAAACTAATACAACATTGTAAAGCAAGTATACTCCAATAAAGATATTAAAAAAAATTAGTTCCAGAAATTGAACAAATGTTATCAAAATAAAGAGATAAGTTGACAAAAAAATAAACAACCCCCCCATGTACAGTCGATACATGAAGTTATACAATATATTCAGAGATTTTCTATCCAAAATGGAAGTTCTAAATGTAAATGGATCGTGAAATTTGCTTGATAACAGATACAGAAAATATGGAAAAGTCCCCAACTTGATAAAACACGGGGACGCGTGCACTTTGTGGAATGCATAATGTCAAAGAAATGTCCCTTCTACATAAACTACACCTTTTGAGTTGTTAGGTAGCAGTCCTGTCCTTATGGTTGGTTCTCAAGATTGCCTTAGGGATGGCTCCAATCATTTCTCAAAGCTTGTGAAGAAATTTATACATTCGCCACAAATAATTTTACTGTATTTAATTAAAATACATTCCAGCTGCTGTTTGTAGGGAGCTTAGCACATGGGCAGTCAAGGGAGAGATCGGGCCACGATGTGGGTTTGGAACCCTTGCTCTCAGATTCCAGGACAGCGAAGCTAACGGTGTGTTACTTCACCAAAACTCTTCTGTCCTGTTGAGTCCAACACAGTTTTCATGGGATTCCTGGGCTAGATGCCAGGACACAGCTGAATAAGATCTCTGACCCTCAAGGAGTTTGGTCTACACTGTGAAACAGTACCAGGTCCATTCAAATCTCTTTTGGCTTTTAGAGCAAACATCTGCCGTGCGTGGTCTCCTAATTCAGTCCATGCGGAACTAGAGATGCAATCAGTGATTTCTCTCCCTGTCATGTTCACTCAGTCTTATTTGCCAACATCTATTTTGTTTTATGATCTGATTCAAAAAAATTCCTATTTCCTAAGTTGTCCATACCTGGGCAAAAGTGCTGGGGTGCATCGTTGAAACTTGTATGTGTAAAACAATTCTCTCGATCAAGGGCTTTGGACCAGTTATAAACCCTATTCGCAACCTGCACAAAGAGAGAAAAGGCACAGTACCAACCCTGCATTAACAATTAATACCTTGTTAGTGATTTCATGGGGAAGAAAGTTGTGACCTGGGGACAAACACACTTAGTTAACACATTCTAATAAAACTACTTATTTAAAATACACATTTAAACTTAATTGTACACTTAAAATAGACCACGTATTTCTAAATGTGCTCTTTCGTATATGTAACCAAAAACCTGACCAGTCCCCCTACAGCTATAAATTTAATGGCCAACTATCTTTGACCACTGGGGACAGATTGGGAGAAAAGCCTGGTATTAATAGATAAAATCAAACGGGAATACAGGTATCTTAAATGAGAACTGTTAGCTGAGGTGCAGCCTCTGTCACCTTTAGATGCAGCCTGCAGGCACAGCCAGGGCCTTACCCAGAGGACAGGACTTTGGAAAAAGAGTCAGCTCGGATGACACGCCCATCAACGTCCATGGAGAGAAAAGTCGGTGCCCAGGGCTTGAAATGGAAGAAAAATACTGTTGGTTCGGGAAGTCTGTTAGAGCCCGTATCCCTACTTTGTGCAGAGACTGGGGAGGAATGGATTTGGAGAACAGTAGGACAAACATCCTTTTCCTTGTCTTCATCTCAGCCCTTTGAAATGGAGTAAGAACCAGAGATGCACGTTCTTCTATTCGTATCTGCCGATCTTCACGGCTTTTCTGCCAAATACACACACACGTCCTCGCACTTGCTCACGCTGCCACTCCCGTGAGTTTAGAGGAACCTCACACAGGACCTCCTCGTCCCAAGGCTTGAGATCCAGGATGAACAGATTTCGAGGAAGGATTCAAGAAAAACTAGTTTGGAAAAGACCAAAACGTAGAGGGCCGTCAGCATTCAGGACTGTTTAGGAAGAGAATGCTGAGCCTTAGACCAACTAGAAACAAAACAAAGGTGCAAGGGAAGACGAGCAGAGTAGTCGGTCTGCAATGCTGAAACTTCCATATTTACTTCAAACGTAAATGCCAACAAGAAAGGGGGCCATGGTCGTGTTGAAGGTGCGCGGTAGGCAGACATGGTATTCAGGCAAACTAGATAAAAAGCCAAGAGTTCTGTTTCTTCTCCGTAGATATAGAGTGGGGACTGAGTGCATGTGTTTGTTCTGTGCAGCCCTGAGAGCAAATACAGTGTTGGATTTTGCGGAATTGGACATTGGGAGTCTGTACCACTACTGCTGTCTCCTGGGAAACCGTGCTCGTGGACAGTGGTGTACATATATAGTGGGAAAGGATCTGAAAGCCCATGATTCTGCAGGAAAGTCCCCGACCCTAAGTGACAGGGATGGCGAGTGGGCAGCATGATGCTAGGCACGCCCCTCCTGTGCCCACCACCGCCTCATGACCGAGCGCGGCCGTCCTGCTCCTTCCGCCTGGACACGCCTCCCAAGTCCTCCGCCCGTCAGCCACCCCCGAGAGACTGAGGTTGACATCCAAGGAGACACCCACTCCATAACCCTGGCACGATGTCTAAGGAGCCACGACCTGGATTTGGAGTCCAGACGACCCTCACCCTTGACTCACTCGACCCTCCACGTGCCTGGCACAGAGAGCCAGCCGCTATTCTAAAGGAAAGGAATTTCTGGAAAGAGCAGTAATACCAGAGATGAAAATACTCGGCAGCCCGGCTAAACTCACATCAGCAGAGTAACCTACAGCCACTTGTCTACTGATTGTGGGCTGAGTTGACACTGCACTTACCTTGTTGAACTGCATAAAATAGTAAGGATCGTCTTCTATGATGAGGAAGTCGTATTTTCTTGCGAGCTAAAAAAGGTTAAAGAAGCATGTTTATTTCTTCAGAGCGCTCGAAGATGAAAATCACTTGGAATCATAGTTCTTTGTACTCATTCATTCATTCATCCAAGAAGCTACTGAGGACTCCGTGTCCTAGGAGGACAGGAGCCAGCCCTAAAAGCTCTGTCCTCAGGGAACTTACGATCTGGTGGGAAAGACAGAAGGAACGTGAGCCAGTGGATAGTGAACAGAGGGTCAGGAGGGAGGTTTAGAGGGCTGGGCAGAAGGTTAAAGAGGGTGGATGTCTGAGAGAGAGAGAGTGACATGGAAGCTCCAGGAGAGCTCAGGCCGGCAGGAAGGACCAGGCGTGCAGATGACAGGGCAGAAGATTTTAGACTGAGGGACCAGGAGCAAAGGCCCTGGGGGTGAGAAAATACTTGGCATGTTTAAGGGATAGACGTTTATAGAAGGCATAGGTGTGTCAGGGACAGAAGGAAGGCTCTGTAGCTGCAACAAGAAGGATGTGAGAGGCCTGAGAACCGAGGCCCAGGTCGCATAACTGTGCGTGGCAGGTGAAGGACTCTGATCTTGTTTTAAGTGCAGGGAAGCAGCTGGAGGAGGGGTTGTAGATCTACACTTGAGCAGGAAGGACGCCACGAGCCGGGGGCGGGAGCTGTGAGGAGCGGGGCAGTCACGGGGTCCGGGAGGGCGGGCGGGCGGCCAAGGAGACGGTGGGTTTGGATAACGTTGGTGGTGGGAGCCACGGGATGCATTGGAGGTGGGGGTGAGGGGAAGACAGAAGGAAGAGAGGGGAGGAAGAGGTGAGTTTAACACTACACCAACAGTAACGTCTCTTTCAACCAAAATATCAATTAAAGGGAAAGGAAAACCTCATAGCAAGAGCGTAATAGTTTCTTGAGTTTAAATTTATGGGGACCCTTTTATTAAAAATCATCTTCCTTGGGCTTCCCTGGTAGCGAATGGTTGAGAGTCCGCCTGCCGATGCAGGGGACACGGGTTCGTGTCCCGGTCCGGGAAGATCCCACATGCCACAGAGCGGCTGGGCCCATGAGCCATGGCCGCTGGGCCTGCGCGTCCGGAGCCTGTGCTCCGCAACGGGAGAGGCCACAACAGTGAGAGGCCCGCGTAACGCAAAAAATAAAATAAAATAAAAAAATCATCTTCCTTGAGAGCAAGAGGCTAATCAGAGAAGGAACTTGAGAGCACTCTTCTAAAGGGTCAGAACAAAACAAGAACACAGCCACATAGCACATTCTTTGAAAATACCTCATAAATTTCCTTCTTGCGGTTAGTTGTTAATGAGTTCCCGGCAGGGTTGTTGCCATTTGGGACAGTATAAAGAAATTTGGGGGTGTTTTTCTCGGGGTTCTTTGAATCTTCTGGTTTCCATTTGGAAAGTATTTCTCTGAGGGAGTCTGGAATAATCCCGTGCTCATCACTGGAAATGTTAATAATGTTGCAGCCCAGTGGTTGCACCTGTGGAGGACAGGAGAAAAGAAAACCCAAGACTCAGACATGATACCAAATATCATAGTCACTGGTTCTTACAGTAACGAAAATGTTACCATTTATACCCTTAAACACAAACCTGCACTCAGCCCTACACCCAAGGGCTGAGGTGGTATTTTCTGATTCCACTGTTGCCCCGGTTAAGCTTCCATTATGGTTCAAAAATATTCCCTGTCAATTCCTAGAGGAAGGGTAGACATCCCTGCTCATATATGTCAGGCTTGGCCAGGGGTCTGGCTTTGGTCAATAAATTGCGTGCAGAAGTGATGGGTGTTCCTTCCAAGCAGAAGCTTTAAATCCCAGCTTGGGTCTCTCGTTCCCTGTTCCCTCTGCTCTAAGACTGGCAGCGGTCCAGATGAGGCTGCTTCTGTCACTCTGGGGCCTGGGATGAAGATGGCATGGCACAGAGCTTGGTGGCCTGACCGTGGACACAGCGTGTGAGAGAAAGACAGGACTTTGCAGCCATAGGCCAGCGAGATAAGGGGTCAGCTATTCCACAGCATAACCCAGCCTCTTCTGACTGTATCATCTTTATAATTATGGTTGGGACTGCTTCATAAAAGAGGAGTTTATTAAGGAATTTTTTTACAAAGTAAATTCATCACATACAGCATCTGTGATGCTAATACATAAAATAGTTATAAGCAGAGGTGATATTCAAAATATTGGACAGGTGGTGTAGCACGGGCACTTCAGGTGCATTCTGTAGGCCCCATGCCAGGTCAGCATTAGCTCTGTACCATGGGGGGTTCAGGGTGGTCTTAGGAGAGGAGCCAGGGAGCATAGTGGCAGTGGCTCATCAAGGCATGTGGAAGTGTTTCAATACTGTACCAACTGCAGAGGCTGAAGTTGAAAGTAGTGGCCTTGCTTATAGACATAGTTTTATAAAAGTCTTGTGTTTTTATGTTTTATGTTCATAAAGAAAAAATTGGGACTTATTAAAAACAAGCAAAGGAAACCATCAACAAAATGAAAAGACAACCTACAGACTGGGAGAAAATGTTTGCCAACAGTGCAACTGACAAGTGATTAATTTCCAAAGTATACAAACAGCTCATACAGCTCAATATCAAAAAACAAAAAAAAAACAACCCCATCAAAAAATGGACAGAAGACTGAAGTAGACATTTCTCCAAAGAAGACATACAGATGGCCAACAGGCACATGACAAGATGTTCAACATCCCTAATTATTAGAGAAATGCAAATGAAAACTACAATGAGGTACCACCTCAAATGAGTCAGAATGCCCATCATCAGAAAGTCTACAAATAATAAATGCTGGAGAGGGTGTGGAGGAAAGGGCCTCTGACATTGTTGGTGGGAATGTAAATTGGTGTAGCCACTATGGAGAACAGACAGTATGGAGGTTCTTAAAAGACCAGAAGTGGAGTTACCATATGATTCAGTGATCCCACTCCTGGGCATATATATGGAGAAAAGTACAATTCAAAAAGATACATGCACCCTAATGTTCATAGCAGCACTATTGACAATAGTTAAGACATGGAAGCAACTTAAAATGTCCATCAACAGATGAATGGATAAAGAAAATATGGTCCATATATACAATGGAATATTACTCAGACATAAAAAAGAATGAAATAATGCCATTTGCAGCAACATGGATGGACCTAGAGATTATCATACTAAGTGAGGTAACTCAGACAAAGACAAACATCATATGATAGCACTTATATGTGGAGTCTAAGACAAGGATACAAATGAACTTATTTACAAAACAAACAGACTCACAGACATAGAAAACAAACTTACGGTTACTAAAGGGGAAAGGTGGGGAGGGATAAATTAGGAGTTTGGGATTAACATGTACACACTACAATATATAAAATAAATAAACAGCACGTTCCTACTGTATAGCACAGGGAAGTGTATACTCAATATCCTGTAATAACCTATCATGGAAAAGAATGTGAAAAAGAACAGATATATATATATATATCTGAATCACTTTGCTGTATACCTGAAACTAACATGACATTGTAAGTAAACTATATTTCAATAAAAATTAAGAAAAAAAACCCCAATAATTGAGTGAAGTTCTCAGAAAAAAATTTTTCAAAGAATATGCAAACACTCATATTAGTCATCAAACGTAGACTTATGCACTAAGTGAGAATAATCCAGACCCTACTTGTGGCAAATTTAAAAGGCCTTAGACTTTAAAAACACATGTACATGAATAAAGCAAGTTCATCTTGGGCCACGAGATAAACACCCAAGACCGTCGGCGTATTCCCTCACAGCGTGGCACTGGTTTCTGTTTGGGCATGTGAAAACGTGTGTTAATCGTGCTATTTACATAGATACAAGTTTCACATTTACAGGCATCGCGTAATCTTACATCTTTGGAGTTCAGGAAAATAAAGCATAATTAGTATCCAATGATTAAGGCCATTATTTTACTTTAGTTTTTAAAATTGTGGTAAAATATATATAACAAAAAATCTGCCATTTTAACGTGTGGGATTCAGTGGCATTAATTACGTTCATAATGTGTGCATCTCTCACTATCAATTTCCAAAACCTTTTCATCACTCTAAACAGAAACCCTGTAGTCATTAAGCAACAACTCCCCATTTCCCCCTCCCCCAGGCCCTGGTAACCTCTCATCAACTTCCTGTCTCTATGAATTTGCCTATTTTTGGTATTTAGTACAAGTGGAATCATACAATATTTGTCCTTTTGTGTCTGGCTTCTTTCTTTGAGCCCCTGCAGTGATGGGCAGTGCTTTACTCCTCAGAGAGCTGGGAAGGCTGATGGTTAGACAGTTGTTACATTGAGTTGAAATTGTTTCCTGTAGTTTCTACCCTTTGGTTCAAGTTCTGTGAACCTGAGGACATGCACAGACAAACCTAACTCCTCTGTCACGTGGCTAGCTTTAATGTATCTGAGGACAATTCTCATGCCCCCGTGGAGTCTTCTCTCTCTGCGGAAAAGAGCATAGTTCCTAAAACAATTCAACCTATGGTATTATTTCCATTTCTTTGTTCACTCTGGTCGCTTTTCTCCGACTGTGCTCCAACCTGTATTCACATCGACCCAAAAGTATTGTGCCCCCGACAGTGGTGTGTTCTGACCAGGGCACAGCAGAGCAGGCATGTGGTCATATAGATGGTAGTGAAAACATGTCTTTGTCAATTAAGTCACATTTCAGGTGGAATATTAACAAATCTGGACATGATTTTGCACAACCCAATTTTAGCATCTCTGCATTTAGACCTTGTAAGGAGAAATGTATAAAGCAGAGGGTACATTTCACATATTTTGCATATATTAATGATTCTCCTGTTTAAGAAGAAAGATGCTATTTTATGTTTCAGTGGACAGAGAGTTCTCAAGGTGCAGTGGTTTCTTATTTGTTAGAAGAAAAGAGAGTTGCCTTTTGTAGACATGTGTACTCACAGCATGAATTGTTCCTGAATAAATAGGTTCATTTACGAGGATATTATCTCCAGGATTAACGATCATCTCAAATACCTAACAAAAGAAGCATAGGTTAACTTCGTTAGTCTGTTTTCCATTCTTAGAAAACACCTCCCCCCCCCTTTTTTTTTTTTTAGTTTGGGCTCACTAGGATTCTAGAGAAGGAGTTGGCAAGTTTTCTGTAACTTGCCAGATGGGATGTGAGCCCTGGTGTCTCCATTGCCACTACTCATCTCTGCCTCTATGGTGAGAAAGCTGTAGACAATACGTCAGCCGATGGTGTGGCTGAGTTCCAATAAAACTCTATTTACAGAATCAGACAAGGGCTGGCTTGGCTCTCAAGCCACAGTTTGCAAACCTCCGTTCTGGGTTTAAAAAATATATATATATACACATAACTGGTTTGGCTCCTAAAATTCATGTATTCCTTCTTTGAATAATTTAAAAATCTTTGCTATAAGCCAGGACCTATGGAGACAAACTGATGAGTATAGTGGGATGGTTTTTATCCTCGTGGAGGTGCTAGTTCATTGAAAGCTAGATTCTAATCAAATAACTACTCAGATAAATGCATATGTAAAATCGGTGATAAGCGCTATTACGTATAGATGCCAAGGCTCTACGTGCTCATTGTAGGAGGACTTGGGCACTCAGGGAACTTAGAGCATTCAGGGAGGACTTCCCTGAGGAAGTGACGAGTAGGAGGAGGGGTGACAATACGTACACAGTTTGAGAAACTGAAAGAATCTGAACTGAAAGAACTGAGAATTTTCACTGTGAGAAACACAGTTTGAGAAACTGAAAGAATTGAGAAACTGAAAGAATGGCTTGAGGTGGAGTGTGAAGAGGAGAGTGGAAGGACTCAGAGGGAAGTGGGCAGAGAGCATCCCAGGGAGGCCTTTGGGCCAAGTGAGCCCAGGGAGAATTTTAAGTAGAGGGCGGGACCGGGGAGTCAGGTGACCAGACAGGCATTTGAGAAAGTCATTCTGGCTGCAAACTCAAAGTATCAAAAAGGAATGAGAGTACAGGTGGAGTCTGGGAAGTTTTTAGGCTCATTTGGGAGGTATTTGCTGCAGTCCTTGGGAAAGGTAAGGGTGGTCTGGATGGGTTGATGATGGTGGGGCTGGAGAGAACTGAGCGGCATTTAGGAAATCAGAACCAGCAGACCTAACGGTGGACTGAGGGGGCACGAGGAAGGAGAGGTGTCAGGAGGGACCCCTGGATTCTGGCTGTGCAGGTGGGGAGGTGGTGGGAGGAGTGCCACTGACTGAAAAACACCCCCAACGCTGTCTGTTCTGAGGGAGAAGCTGATGAGTGTGTTTTGGTGTGAGGGGCCTTTGAAACAGCCTGGGATGGATCAGGTGGATTGGTGGACGCGTGGATGTGCAGGGAGCCTGGAGTTAATGGCATGGACGTGATCGCCCAGGTGTGATGCCCAGGGAAGGTGTGTGTGTGTGAAGGGGAAAGAGGTTTGGGGGCCCAGCCTCACGGGGCTCCCATACATAAGGGACACTGCAAGTGGGGCAGGGCAAGAGGAAGGGGAGCATTCCAGAAAGGAGGGGGGCTCAGCAAGGGTAAAGGAGACTCAGAGGTCAGGGAGGACAAGGCCCACAAGTCTCGGGCGATCTTGAGGACAGTATGATGCCTCGGGACATCAGTAGAGCCACACAAGAGATTTTTCCAGCCTAAGTCAGAGGAGTCCATTCTGACTAAATCTTACACGAGTCAGAGAATAATCCTTTCCCAGCCTGTGACATTTCACAGTCCCCAGGTCAAGCCTCTCCTCCCTATATCATTTTAACAACCTAGATCTCTTGACACACAGCACGGCCATTATCCACTGAGACAGAAGATGTGACATCTTTTTCCAATTTGGACTAGGATGTTCGATTTACTTTTCCTTATGGGCTTTTGGCCTTTTATGACAAACAGTATCTTCCTCTGACAAGTTCATTGGTTCAGGATTTACAGGACATCCTAGGACCAAACAGATCACTGAGGCGGCTTGTGTATCATCTGTGGATCAGATGAAAACCTCATCACATTCACTTCCCATGTCATTAGGGGACATGAGAAAGTCATATATCCTAAATGAGGAGGGAGGGCTGTTCATTATCTGAGACACGGACACCTAAACTAATATCCATCCTGGGGAACAAAGTGGGAGAAATAGTAAACCGGATTCCCAGGAGGCCTCTGGAACAAGCATGGCTATAAGCCAGTGAGTTACTGATGCATTTGGCCATCTATGCTCTGTTCCTCTTTGATATGACTGATGTTGCAAGAGACAAAGAAGAAACTTTCTTGTGCATCTTTCTGGGAAAAAAAAAAAAGGTACCTAAGCAAAGAAATTCACTGAAGTCCTTTTTTTTCCCTACTTGTCTGGGGCATCACAAATATTTCTCTTCAACAATAAAACTGAAACAGCAGCTAATCCTTTTGTTTTTCCTAATTAAGTCCAAATAGAGGGAGGAAAATTGTAGTCTTATTACTTTAATACATTATTATGTAATAATAATTTAATGGAATTCATGAAAACTAACCAGCTTTCACATTTACATAAAAAAGAAGAGCAAGAAAGCTACTCTGCTTTGAGATAAACAAGAGTCGTACTTTCATCTAGGTGTGAGGACTGAATGTAGAGCCTCCTTATCCAGGACTAATTATTCATGAAAAAGAAAAGAAACAAATAGATGAAACTGAGAACCATATATGCAGTCTCTTTATCTGGAGACCCCCCAGTGGTGGTTACCTCTGTGGAGTTCCTGGAACCCAGGAGAGAGGCAGAGAGAGAGAGAGAGAGACAGAGAGAAGGAGAGAGAGAAAGTAACCCAGAGGAGAAGTCAGCCACAGACACAGACATATACGTAGACCTGGAGAAGCACAGCCAAGAGGGAGTCAGGGTACAAGGGGCAGCCGGCATGGACGATGACACCAGCAGACACACACAGGAATGATGTTTCATCTCAGGAGTATCAGGATACACCCTCAAAGAATTTAAAAGTCATGCGTTGAAATGTCATAACCACAAACATAACTGAAATGTAGCCTGAATCTCTGAGTCAGATGAAAGTAAGCAGCGCTCACTAAGCTGCAGGTAGGGGTTGAGTTCTCCCTGAATGGGAATCTTGTCCTAATGACTCAGAGCTCCGGGTCATTGATGGTGGGATCTCTGTTTAAGAGAAATCAGGTTGGTGAATGTCTTTAAGTTCCACTTATGATTCTAGGTGAAGACAAGGAAGCCTTCATAACCCACAGAACATGATGCTCTGTGGCTAAGGGAGAGATGGCTGTATGGGTGAACGTAGTATTGGATTCTTCCCGCGGGTGCCTTTCCTTCCAGTCTTACCTTACAGAGACCTTCTTGGCTGCCACAGGTGACACACACGTCCATTTGTCCTTGGCTGGGTGGATAATGGATGGTGGGAGGATTATGCAATTTTACTTGTAACTGTTTTAGCCAGGATAACAGCTCTGGGAGGCTAAAGCATAAAATGCACGTAAAAATTGACAGCAGTGAAAGTCATAATAATAGGAGACAGGAACTAGATGGTGGCTTTATAGCAGGCACTTCAAAGGTCCTCAAATGCTTTTTGCCAATAGTAATACCTTTACTTTAAAGACAAGGCAACAGACTTAGAGACTAAGAAATCCACATAAGTTAATCAGTTGGTGATTAAAAGAGCTGAGATTTGAATCTACAGCTTTCTCATTCCAAAGCCTGTACTTCTTCTTTTACATTAGAGCTCTCACTGCGTAATTCATTTTTTGTTTCCCTTAGGGAGATTTCTGTAGGATACCTAGAAGTGCAGGTTCAGTAAGTTCTTTGCATCATGGAAAGAAAAGCTTCTGTATACATTATATACAGTACAATTTTTATGCACCCAACATGCATTATTCTTCAATCACAGAGCAAACAGGCTTTAATAAAGTATAATTCATAGACACTCTGCAAGTTACCCTTTATCACTGGAAGAAGACCAGCTGAGGAAAGCCTTAGAATGTGTTCCAGTTGCCTTTATGAAATTAAACACATCTGAACTGAGGGCAACATGCTTACATAGCTGCCTGTTTAGAAAGGGAACATAATCATTAAAAAAATTCCCTAGGACCTAAACTGGCTGCTTCCTGGGTCATCCTTTTCCTCCTTTCTCCTACCCTGCTTCTTCACCTAGCTATATTCTCTCTCTCTCTTTTATTCCAGTCTCAGCTCAAATGGTACCTACTTTCAAAAGCCTTCTCTCCCTCTCCTAGTCGTGTAAGGTTGAGAAGCAGTCCCTGGCATCTTAGGCATTCAGTATCATTGCTGCAATTATTTTTTCATCTAAAGCTCTTCCCCAAACCTTCCTCACTGCTGAATACCCAGTTAAAAAACGCACACGTCACTCTATCAGCGGGCTGTAGAATATTGCTCATGAAAATGAACCAACAAGGTTACATTATCTACTGATCAGTACCCAGCACTCTGAGAATACTGTAGTGCTCTCTTCATTATGTTTTCATCAAATTGGATGGTCTCTCCGTTGTCTGTGGTGATAACCGCAGTCTTGAAAGGGAACGTGTTGGGGTTTGGTGCTCCAGTCGCCAGGGAGAGGACAGATTTCGATGACTTGCCCAATATCTCAGCTACAACAAATAAGGAGGAGAAGAAGAAACACTTTCAGTGAAGACCTTCCTAAACAGAGATGGTTCAGCATGCTGCGTTAAAGTCAGTAAAACTTTAAAGTGTAACGATTTCTAGTGATAGAATGCTAGTCCGAAAGAAACACAGAAGATGCCTTTTTTGTGGGCCGACCTCACCGGTGGAGGAACTAAGGAATAGACACGTGCATCTAAGAAGGCGGAGTGATCAGGCAGACAAGCCAAGGGTCACAGTAAGAGAAGACGGGCTTCCACTCGGCCCGTCCGTGCCCGGCTCCGCGCGCACCCCTCTCTCTCCGGCGAACCCGCCCTCCCCATTCCGCACGCGCCCGCACGCTGAGCCGAACCCCGACTCCTGTGCCCGGAAGAGCCCTCTGGAGCCTAAGCAGGACGTGTCCACAGCGGCCTGCCCTCTCTCTACTGCTGATGGCCCACACTCGTGCCCGTTCCAGCGCGCCTTCTGTGCCAGGTCTGCGCAGAGCCGGGCTCAGGCCGCCCGGAGCAGCTCTGCGGGGACCGCCCCCTCCAGTGGGAGAGCAGGGCCCGCACTCACTCATGACTCGAATGGCAGAAGGCTTTCTGGCCGCGCTCACAGCCGTGATGAACCGTGTGTAATTCATTCTCGGATTCCAAGCGGCAAGCCCCGCCTTATGTGGTTGAAGCCTGGGAAAACCAAGGATCCGCGTCAATCCTGCCCCCTAATCCCTGCCCTGGAAAGGCCACCTCTGCTGTCCCCCGCGTGTGGTCTGGCGCGCGGAGCTAGGAGAGGCCGCCGAAGGCCCGGCTATTGGCTGCGCGAGAGCCTGGTTAGGATCCGGCCTGGTGCGTAGCAGGACTGGCAAAGTCCACTGGCAGGTTAGGAGCGTGCCCCTCCCGCCCTGCGCGACGCGGCCTATGGCCACCGGCCTCCCCTCCGGCGGGTTTCCAGCCCTGTGACCACGCCTCCAAGGCCCTTCAGCACACCCACTGGCCTCGGCCCTCCTGGCCGATCCCCACCCCCGGCCTGGCATCCAGCGCGTCCCCGCCCCCAGCAGCGCCTCACGGCGCGCCCCGCCCTCCATGCCTGCAGACTGGTCTCCGCCCCAGGCCTCGGTTCCGCCTGGAGACCTGGCCACGAGCCTCCAACCTGGCCATCCGTCTTGGCACAGGAGGTGCGGGGAGGCTGGCCGCCTGCCTGAACCAGGGCCTGAGGCAATTCAAAACCCGGTCTGACTCCTGACCCTGCAGCTGGAGTCGCCGCAGGAAAGCGTCGGGTTGGCCGGGGCGCCGGCGGGGATCTCCCTGAGGCGCTGGTGGAGGCGCCTGAGTCCTCTGTGCCCAGGTCCTCGAGGGCCAGCCGCACGGCCTGGGTGCCTGAGCAACAGGGCGCAAAACTCTCCTCTCAGAAGGATAACTACAGACAGTCTCCTGGGGAGTCACCAAAGCGTCGCGGGTGATTTCCAGAGCCCCTGTTTTCAAGATCTGAGCGTTTTAGAGTGAGGATGGAGTGCTGATAGAAATTTTGGGAGAATCACTCTGAGGCTGTCCTCACATTTTAGCGTTTTTCCTCCGCTTGGGTTTTTTTGACCACTCAGTGTAGATTTAGGTTGCAAGCGTCCATCCAAAAAGATGCCTGTCTTTGGGGCTAATAGTGCCTTGTTCCCTTTTCTCACAGAATAATCCTTTTCCTCAGACTCCCACCAGTTTTAGCCGTGATTTCTCCTTCCTGAATCATCCAACTGGAATGCACAGCGTTCCACGTGAGCCCTGAATGAGAGAAGATTTGGAGACAGTCTCTCTTTTTTAATTCTTAAATGGGTATTAAAGAATCATTTCTTTTCACCAAATTCCACCCTGGATTCATTCGTTCGGTAAGCATTATTGAGTTCTTCCTGCACGAGTGAGTACTGACCCTCGGCCAAGGGCTTTCTTAGACATAAATAATTTGGTCTTGGAGACACTTCTGCCCTTAGTAGGTCCTGGCAACCACAGGATAAGATAACCCAGGGAAATCTTTATGCCCCCAGCTGAGGAACACAGGGAATATCATTAGTAATGCTACTAGAAACCCAAGCGGGGATGGAGTTCTGGATTCAGAGACTTCAAGTGGTTTAGATCAGGGGTCCCCAACTCCCTACGGGCCAGTACCGGTCCATGGACTGTTAGGAACAGCAGGAGGTGAGCGGCGGGCCAGCGAGTGAAGCTCCATCTGTATTTACAGTCGCTCCCCATTGCTCTCATTGCCGCCTGAGCTCCGCCTCCTGTCAGATCAGTGGTGGCGTTAGATTCTCACAGGAGCGCGAACCCTACTGTGAACCGTGCATGCGGGGGATGTAGGTTGCGCGCTCCTTATGAGAATCTAATGCCTGGTGATCTGAGGTGGAGCTGAGACAGTGATGCTAGCGCTGGGGAGCAGCTGCAAATACAGATTATCCTTAGCAGAGAGGTCTGACGGCACAGAGACCATCATAAATCAACTGCAGACTCCGGTCAAAACCCTATTAGTGAGTGGCAAGTGACAAGCTGCATCTGGTGGCAGACTTTATAGTGGCAGGTGAGTTGATGTACTTCAGTTGTTCCGCTGCGTCTGGTGGCAGGCTTTAAGTCAGAATCCGACACTTATTTTAGTCCGTGTGTGGCCCGCCCATTATTTTATTTACCACTTCCATCCGTGCCTCTTTCCTGCACTGCGCACTCGTCTCAGTCACAGTTTTGGTAAGCCCACAAGCTAATCCTAGCCAAAATGAGTAAAAAACAAACGTTGCGGGAGAGCTTCTTTGAAAAGGGGGAAAGAACCGATGATGAGACAGCAGAAGACTCTAAGACTGCCAACAAAAAGAAAGCTGCATTTAAAAGAAAATACCAAGAGTCCTACTTACATTACGGGTTCATCGCAACAGGTGATTCACATTCTCCAAGCCCGCTTTATATATTATGTGGTGACCTGCTATCCAACGAAGCCATGAAACCTTCAAAACTGGTTCGCCACATGGAGACCAAGCACCCTGCTTTAAAAGACAAGGCTTTGGAGTTTTTCAAAAGGAAAAAACATGAACAACAGAAGCAATTACTGAAGGCCACCCCTTCATCACACGTGTCTGCACTGAGAGCATCAGTCTTAGTGGCTAACCACATTGCTCAAGCTAAGCAGCCCCTTACTGTTGGTGAAGAGTCGATCCTGCCTGCTGCTAAGGGCATTTGTTGTGAACTTTAAGGAGAGGCTGCAGTTCAAAAGGTGGCACGTGTTCCTCTTTCGGCTAGCACCATAACTAGACGAATTGATGAAATAGCAGAGGATACTGAGGCACAATTGTTAGAGAGGATCAGTGAGTCACCGTGGTACGCAATCCAGGTTGACGAGTCTACCGCTGTTGACAACAAGGTAACAGTGCTTGTTTTTGTGTGATATATTTTTCAGGAGGATGTGCCTGAGGATGTGTTATGTGCGCTTTTGTTGCCTACCGACACCACAGCTGCAGAACTAGTCAAGTCTTTGAATGATTACAGGAAAACTGATTGGGTCATTTTGCATCGGTATATGTATGGACAGAGCGGCTGCCATGACTGGACAGCTTTCTGGTTTCACTACTCGGGTCAAAGAGGTCACTTGTGAATGTGAGTCCACACACCGTGTCATCGTAGAGAAATGCCGGCTAGCTAAAAAAATGTCACCTTAATTTAACAGCGTTTTGCAGGATGTGATTAAAATTATCAACCACGTTAAAGTACATGCCCTTAACTCATGTCTGTTCACGCAGCTCTGTGAGGATTTGAACACAGAACACACACGTCTTCTCTTATACACAGAAGTGAGATGGTTTCTAAAGGTAGATCACTGGCCAGAGTTTCTGAGTTACGAGAGCCACTCCAGAGATTTCTTTTAGAAGAACAGTCACCACTGGCAGCACATTTCAGTGACACAGACTGGGTCACAAAACTTGCTTGTGTGACATATTCCACCTGCTCAACGACATCAATCTGTCACTTCAGGGGAGAATGACAACTGTGTTCAAGTCAGCAGATAAAGTGGCTGCATGCAAAGCCCAGCTGGAATTATGGGGGTGGCGAGTGAACATGGGGATTTTTGACATGTTTCAAACATGAGCAGAGATTTTGAAAGAGACTGAGCCAGGGCCTTCTTTCTCCCACCTGGTGCGTGATCACCTATCTCAGCTTTCAGAAGAGTTTGAGCCTTACCTCCCAACCACAAAAGACCCCTGAACTGGGAAGGACTGGATCCGCGACCCATTTGTGAATAAGCCAGGTGAATCGACTTTGTCCGTGCTAGAAGAGGATCAACTGCTTGAGGTCGCAAGTGACGGTGGCCTGAAAAGTGTGTTTGAGACAATGTCACATCTCCATATGTTCTGGATTAAAGTCAAGGTGGGGTATCCTGAGATGGCCACAAAAGCACTGAGAAGCCTGCTTCCATTTCCAGCACCCTATCCTTGAGAAGCGGGGTTTTCTGCAGTGACCGCAACCAAAATGAGATCGTGGAGTAGACTGGACGTAAACAGCACACTTCGGGTGTCACTGTCTCCCGTCAGCCCCAGGTGGGACCATCTAGTTGCAGGAAGACAAGCTCAGGGCTCCCGCTGATTCTGCGTTATAGTGAGTTGTATAATTATTTCATTATATATTACAATGTAATAATAGTAGAAATAAAGTGCACAATAAATGTAATGCACTTGATTCATCCCCAAACAATTCCCACCCCACTCCACACTCTGTGGAAAAACTGTCTTCCACGAAACCTGTCTCTGGTGCCAATAAGGTTGGGGACCGCTGTTTTAAATCCCGCTTAATGATTTGCCAGCTGGGTATTTTGCACAAGGTACTTAAACTTTCTGGGCATCCGTTTGCTTACAGGGCCGCGGGCAGGATTAAATCAGAGAATCTCTGAAGCTTCTCAGCACAGTGACCTGCTCACTGTAAAAGCATTCAGTGACTGTTAGCTGTTGTTACAAATAGTAACAGTGTTCTTAGCAAAACTTAAGGACTCAGCCTCCAAATGGAAATTTTTAAGGCAAATTATGTCCTTAGTTAATTCGTGTACACAATTAAGAATCTTTGTGAGTTTATCTATTTTAAAAAGTGTTGCCTCTGAATTTTCCTAGAAATTAGCTCAAGAAGCATTGGCAGGCGGATTCTTAACCACTGCGCCACCAGGGAAGCCCACTGGTAATTTTTAGTGTTCCTTGGCTTGTGTTGCATCATCCTGATCTCTGTCTTCATCTTCACTTGGCATCACCCTGTTGTGTGCAGGTCCCTGTTTTCAAACTTCTGTTTTTTTATAAGAACATCAGTCACATTAGACTAGGGCTCCCCTTCATTGCCTCATGTTAACTTGGTTACCTCTGCAAGGACTCTATCTTCAAATAAGGTCACATTCCTAGGTACTGGGAGTTAGGACTCCAAAGTATCTTTTTTTAAAATTGAAGTATAGTTAATTTGCAATTTTGGGTAGTTTCAAGTGTGCAGCAAAGTGATTCAGTTAAACGTATATATTCTTTTCAGATTCTTTTCCATTATAGGTTTTAAAACATATTGAGTATAGATCCTTGTGCTATACAGTAGGAACTTATTTTATATATAGTAGTGTATATATTTTAATCCCAAACTCCTAATCTATGCCCCTGCTATCTGTTTGGTAAGCATAGGTTTGTTTTCCATGTCTCTGAGTCTATTTCAGTTTTGTAAATAAGTTCATTTGTGTAATTTTTAAAGATTCCACATAAAGTGATATCATATAATATTTATCACCCACTGTCTGACTTATTTCACTTAGTATGATAATCTCCAGGTCCATCCGTGTTACTGCAAATGGAATTATTCCATTCTTTTTTATGGCCGAGTACTATTCCATTGTGTGTGTGTATATATATATATATATATATATATATATATATCATAGCTTCTTTATCCATTCATCCATCAATGGACACTTAGGTTGCCTCCATGTTTTGGCTATTGGAAATTGTGTTGTTATGAAGATTGGGATGCATGTATCTTTCCAAATTAGGTTT